TTAGCTAGCTAGATATTACTGACTACGCGCATTGTGCAAATTGAGCGAATCAAAACACTGGTAGTATTCGACGCGAAATCTGAACAGCGCGATCGCGCTGAAACGATCACTCTGTTTCGTTCAAAGTACACAGTAGCCCCCACTTCAAGTCCATCGACTTATTAATTTCTTTCCTCATTCTTTATTCATTCTCTTCGTAAGTATACCGTGTTTGTGACATTTCGCAGTATAAACACAAGAATAAATAAAAAAAGTCTTTGCTTGCACGAGTGTTGCAAGTGAAAAGTGAATATCGTTTAATTCGTACGGTGGAAAGGTTAATTTTCAAACTCGATTCCCTCGAAAGCGGAGCATCTCACGGGAAAATTGGTCATTTCTACTTGTACGTAGAATAACCTGTTGTAAATCAGCCAAATTCAAGGAACACGCGATTTCCTCGAAAAACAGAGGCTTTCACACAGCGGACGCTTAAGCGGGGAGGTGTATTCTGCGAATCACTTTGTATCGTGTGACTGTCACACGGTTCATGCGGCCTTCGACAGCGAGAATTATTAGTTATTCTTATTATTTTCTTAAATAATTATTTTAATATCATTTAAAAAAAATTTATCATTATCCAAGGTCTTTAATTATAATAGAATTTATTCGTGTAATTTTTATGTTATTTGCAATATATATTATCAATATTTTTTATTTTTTTAATATATTCAGTTTGTGAAGGAATTTTAGGATTATTATTGTCAATTAGAATAGAGCCGCTGTTCCAAGTAATGGCGGGGATAGCGACGGACGCTTAAATGAGGAAAAGTGGGGGGACCATTTCGACGATTTCTCCTCCTCTTCCATCGCGTATTTTTGTCTCATTTCAACAGCTAATCGCGTAACGCCGTGCCAAGTCGGATCTCGAATCGCGGAGGCATGTGCCCCCCGTCGGTAACGTACCTTCCGGTTGGTTAATCGCCGAGGCCAGATTGCTCGTAAATCGTACAGGCCAGCCGCACCTGCCCGCTTTTCGAGGGTGCAGTGTGACAATGAAATCCGATAGTCTCGGGTAACTTGTACCTATTGGATCGGGCGGGTTCACGGGTCAGCGGGTGCACGACAATGCCGAAACACGCCGGACAGGGATAGTCGATGAATACGGGGAAGTGGGGTAGGAAGGGAGAAGTGTGTAGCGTTCTTCTTTGTGTTAAGTGCTTGAAATTCGATGCATCCTGCCCATCCTGTGTTTTTCTCGTCTCCGAGACGACGCGGATGTGTGTCGTTGCCCCCTCGTCGTTAATTGACAATCCAACGGAATCTTCCGGGTCTCTGTCGGTAAGTTGTTGTTCGCTTTGCCCTCGCTTTCGCGGATAAGAGAGGTGTCCCAGTGCAGTGGGGGGTTCAAGTCATAATTCTCTGGCGCGCGGGATCACTTCGAGGAACGTTAGGCCGCGGTCAAAATTAGATTGAAAAGCGAGCAGCGCGACGTGCACGCGGATGACGCGCGTTACATAAGCCCCGCGTAGACGGAAGCGAGCGCACCGACGGCGAGTAATCGTGTACGAAACGATCCCGATGGCTCCCGATAATAAAAGAGAACAAAGGAACGAGGGGGAATGCCACTTGAGGCGCACACAGTAGCGTCGTTCAAATGAGAGTCGAGCGCGGTGGAAGAAGGTATCTCCGTTAATAACTCGAGGGGAAATGAGAGAAAGAGACAGAGCGAGTAAAAATAAAGGGGAGTGTTTCGAAAGGAGCTCGAACGA